AGGCGACTAAAACAGTGTTAATTCTATATGTATACATATGTGTATAAATATAAATGAATATAACAATTATTAATAAATAATTTAACTTAAATATTAAATTATGACTCATATCAATAGAACAATTTTATTAGAACTAAACAAATAAATATATCTAATATCATCACAATAAATTGTCTATTTTTTTTTAATTTATAATTTAAATAAATAAGTAATACATGCCTATGAGCTATACATGGTAAATGCCTATGATTTCGAAAAGCTTCCACAAAGTTTGTACCAGAATCTGTTATAAAAGCATATCTTTTTATATTAATTTCAGGTTGAAGATTATACCCTCTTAATAATGAAAAAACAGTTCTTCGTATAATATCTGCTGTATGGCTAGTTTCTGGAAATTTAGATGCAGCAAGTACATATTCTTTTAAATTCTAATTGTCAATGAAGTGCACTGTCAAAGAGATATAACTAATCTTCCTATATATAATTAATTATATCTCCAACAATCTGTGGTAAAAGCTCCACTAGAAATTCGAAAAAATTCCAATATACTTTTTGCCGAAGCTGATTTAATTAACTCTGCTTCCTTTAGTGTGTTTCTGGATACAGTGGTTGGATGTGGAAGCAATTCTTCAATGGATATATTTCCATGAATTGACCCAATTTTAATAAATTCTTGTGCTAATTCTAAAGCTCCGAACGGCTCGGTTCAAACCGAAAAAGTTCGGTACGGATCGGTTTGGTTTCGGTTTACTCTTCGAACCGAACCGAACTTTTTCGGTTTGACTAGATCTTCATATTTATATCTGTAATGAGCAGAAATAAAGATCTTTGAATAATATAATTAGAATTGTTAGTTTATTTCATTTTATACATTCACTTAAAATAATACAAATTTCTAACATTTTATTTAAAATGAATCTATAGTTGAATTATTGTTACGCGAGGCATTATGACCATACTCATATTGTATATTAATGATAATTTTTAATTTATTTGTCTTCTTCAAAAAATAGATCTAGAATCATTGTTATGTGACCATCAAAAAAAATCAACATCAATTAACTGATGGTAGTAGGTAATGATACTACTGTTATGAATGATAATTCTTATTGTATATAATAATAACATTATGAGATCTATGGTTAAACGAGTCATTGCTATTAATGATAATTCTTATTGTATATTAATATAATAATAACATTGTGAGATCTATGGTTAAACGAGTCATTGCTACGCGTACCACTTATTGTATATAATAATACCATTGTGAGATCTATGGTCAAACGAATTGTTGTTACGCGTACTATTAATGATAATTTTTATTGTATATAGAATAAACATTACAATTATAAAATCTACATTAAAAAATTTTCCTGATGTTGCTTGTGTGTTGTTTTGATTAGATTATATAGTATTAAAAATATGTAAATATAAAAATAAAATGAGTTATTATAACCTGACTATAACACCTACATTCCTTTTTCTAGTCATATTTTTATTCTTTTACAACCTGATCCTCGCATATTTTAAAAAAGGGAATTGTTCAAATATCAAATAGATAACTTTGAGATAATAGGAAGTTGGAATTTTTTTGGAGTCACATCTGTACAAACATTTTTTCGTTCACTGTTCACTGGGGTGTTTTGTTTTCAATTGTTTGACGTTTATTAAAACATATTAATATTAATATAAAATTAATAGGGGATCAGAAAACATACGTGCGTGTAATATTCGTATTGAGCCCCCACCCCTAGATAAAATTATTAAAATGTCACGTGACAAAATTGAATGTGAGTCAAAATCCGCCATATGTATAAATTTTTTTAACATTAAAAGATCATTCTATTTACGATTAGGATGTCGTTAGGAAACTGAAGCATGCACAAAGACTCAAGGAGTGGACCTATTAAAAGCTGTGATAAAGCTGCACAACAAGACCATCCGAAAGGAAAATGCATGGCTGACTTAGATTTTTAACCAGAGTAACAAAAAGTCACTTGCATAGACGTGGAAAGGATAGTTCCATTAAATTTGACACCTAAACTTTAACATTTAATGTTATTTGACGAAATGTTGCCAAAGTTGTAAAACTATTACGTCAAATTCGTTGCCATTAATAGTATCATTTTTTACGTGCCACTTGACGATGATTTCATTTTTTTTATGAGCTTCATTCTTGCAATGTCTCCATTATCAGAAAAAATACAAAATAATACATTTGGATGCTCTTTTAACCTTGTATAATCATCCTTTTTTTTTACCTATCCATCCCATACTTGTAAAATTTTATTTGATGTTGATCATGCGATAATCAATGAAACTTTAATATAATAATAATAGTAATAGTAATAGTAAAAAAATAAAAGAGGACAAGGGGCAAATGTGACTGACCCCCGTCTTTTTCACCATTTTTTTCTAAATCTTGTTAATGATGTTACATTTGGCATCTAATTCACTGAAAAAACAAAGATTCAAACAATTTACTATCCAATTCATCCCCCAAAATTATAGAAGTTCACAGATACAAACAAACGCTAATACTACCAATCCTTATGTTAATTTTGACAATTTACCAAAAGCTGGTATATTTAATCCAAATTATTTAAAAAAAGTTTCAGTTTTGCCTTTTAAATATGATCTAGACCAATGTTCTAAGGAAGCATTAAAAGTAAGTGAATAGATAAATATATTTAATGAATTATATGTGTTTATGCTAAAATAATTCTTGGGTAATTGATACGTTTCATTATAAATTATTTTAGGAGAGATCCTATAAAAATTTAAGCACAGCGAAAATTTATATGCCTTGCTGGTACTATTCAATGCTAATCTGTGTTAAATTTATATGTTATGAAACGAACCGCGCGGCAATTCTTTATGAGGGCGAAGCTCATATCCTCACATCTGAAATACCTTCTTGTGTCATGGGAAATTTACATGCTTTTCAGTTAGTACCAGAGAAAATATTTATATTTATATAAATTTCATAATATATATATATATATATATATCATTAATATATATAGTTGATAGCTTATTGATATTATTATTACATTAAAAAAAATTATATCTAAAGGTCATGAATTCTTTTTAGATTAGGACACACAATACGAATATATCAGAAATTAATTGAAAAAGTTACTCTAGGAAGGTTGATTTCAACAGTCTTCCCAAAAATAAAAAGCTTGAAACCAAAATATAACTTCGATTGGATAAAAGATTTACAACCAATCAGCCCACAAATTTTTGCTGAAATTGATGTTGTGGACTTCACCTATAATCTCCCATATTTTACTCGATTGTTATTTGATCATTCAAAAGATAAATTCAAAAAAATCAAATCAATGACTATTGATGATTTTGTCATGGATGTGGAAAAGATTGATGTAGAATTTCAACAATTTTTTCCTGTCTATCATCCTGTCTACGTATTTACAGAGGCATCTCCTACAGATAAAAGCTATCAAGTTGTTGATGCTTACAATTGTCAATTAATTGATCCATCAGTAAGCCATTTTGACTCTATAAAGTACTCTCTTGGTTTTGGCCTTCCTGATAGATTTTTATTTGGTGCATATTTCTTAAATATGCTTGATAAGATTGATGATAATTTTAATGACATTGTAACAAATGCAGAGAATCATTATATGTTGCCAATCAATTGGGATTTGGGTATCATTCAACCTTTCAGAGAAAGGTTTGAAGCAAATCAGCAATTTTTGGAAATTGTTGAAAAATATTATGGATTATTATCAGAATTGAAAGCTCTATATTATAATAATGGTTCATACAAACCAAGCCATTGTAGGAATTTTGATGATTGGATCAGTTATATTAATACGACTAATGGATGGAAAGAAATTTATAAAAAATTAAAGATTCCTTCAGATCTGCCTAGTTTGTCTGTTTTCTCGCAATACTTTTATACTGTAAAATCTGGATTTTTCCAATCAGTAAATGCAAGTGGTATAAAAGAAAAATTACATAAATTTGATCATAAATTTTCATTAAAAAATAAATTCCCTGGATCAACTTCTACTCCATATCCTGGAGTGAATCTTGGTAGAGTGAATCTTGATGGTGTGAATTCTGGTAGAGTGAATCTTGATGGGGTGAATCCTGGTAGAGTGAATCCTTTTGGAATGACGAATGCTGATATAATAAGAAATCATATATTAAAATCTAATGTCTCTTCTTCAAAATCACAATCATCACCAAAATCAAAACCTACTTCGCAATCATCACAATCACTTCCCTCTTCACGACCACCTTCTTCATCATCACCACCACCTTCTTCATCATCACCATCACCACCACCACCACCACCACCTACTTCTTCAACACCACCATCACACCATAGATTAAAGAGAACAAAATATTTATTGGATATTTTAGAACAGAGAACTAAAAAACCAAACAAATCAGCTTCACCATCACCATCATCATCGTCATCACAAACTACTTCATCTGAAAGAAAAAAAAAACCTATATCAGTCATAGACATTGCAACAAAAAATATTACTCCTTCATCCTCATCATCGTCACCCTTCTCATCCAAAACACAAAAATCAGGCCCAATAATATCTGATCCTAAAGGATATTATAAAATACTTAAAATAGATTTATCATTATATAGAACTATTCCTGAAGATCTAGTGATTGAATTAAACTTCAAAAAAACATATGCAGAAATTCTGCAACAATCTAATGATCCAAATATTACTGATGAAGAGAAGCAAAAAAAAACTGAACAGCTTAGAAAGATTTTGGAAGCTAGAAATAAATTAAAAACATGTAGGTTTAAAAAAAAATTTTATAATATGTTTAAGCCATATGTTTTTATGTAAAAAAATTAATAATTGTATTCTATTTTTATATAGCTGAATTGCGTGTAAAATATAGTGAATTAAAATTAAATTGGAAATTTTAGAAATCATTTATCATTTGTTTTTTATACTAACATGATAATAATACATAATAAGATTGTACAAGAAACTAATTTATATTTTTGCATTTAACTGATTCGTTTCGCCCAAAGTGCAAAGCAGATATAAAACACGACATGAAGAAACCACTAAGGCATTTTTGGAATTGAATTTATCTTGTAAAGCTTTTTGAATCTTTGGTGTCTAAATTAATTAATATTTTATATTTGTTAAAAATTATAAAATAAAAAAATTACCCCAAACTTTACTCTAATCTCTTCATTCAAATAAAGGTCCAAATTTTCTTTATTGTCAACCTCAAAAACTACAGTGATATATTTATGTATTCGGTCAGGGTCTTTTATCTCAGCATCACTTTCTTCATCATCTTTTGGAAATCGTGAAATACATCTGCATCACGGAATCCTTTTTTTTTTATTGTTTCATTGAGATAATCTTGTAACCATTTTTCAAAATCCTCAACAATTTCTTTTGTTTGTTTTTTCCCGATAAATGTTATATATCAATTGATGATTATGATAATGCTATTATGATACCAATATCGATATTGATGTTGATAAATAATTACCTAAATCAATAATAAAATTTACTTCATAAATAATAGGTAAAATTTTGTTATCATCAAATACTTTGATGTTGGAACTAGATGATGACATTTTTACTTTTTTATGTTAATATTTTCTGGGGGGTTTTTTTTTACTATTACATCCATATTAAGCATAATTTATTTGCCAAATAAAAAATAGTACTGATATTAGCACTAATCAAACAAATAGGTGTCAAGAACAATTTGTTCTTTCTACTAACATAGAAGAATTAATAATCCAACCAATGTTAATAATAATATTAATTAATTAATGAACCAGTATGGATGGGATTGTTTTCCGAAGATTTGTGTCAATGTTTCGTCAAAAAATGAACTTTCACAGGGTTCACGGTATGAGTGATTTTTTAATCTGTGGGAGTTATAAGCTTTATGTGGTAATAAAAAGACTGCCAAAAAAGATTAGCTTTGAAATGTGATACAAAATTACGATTATGAATTATAAACTGGGACCAAAGAAATTAAGGTAGATAATGAATGTCCCGACCAGGCAACGAAATACTAATGCCACCCACCATTGAAATTCAAAAATTCGATTATATGTACTGAAGATTCGCGCATTTACCAACAATGTGCTGCAGGCAACCCACCTAGTGTTGTGTTCAAAATTTTGTTACACAAAAATCGCTACGTGATTGTTGATCATATTAATATAAAAAAAAACTTTTCGAATCAAAAAATTTTTATTAATAATTATTAATGGAAGACAAAGAGAAGAAAGCTCATCGTCCACGTCAAGCTGGTTCCAAAAAAGATAAGAAAGATAAGAAGGATAAAAAAAAGAAACCCCAAGAAAAAAACAATCCAAAGGTTATTATTATATATATATATATGAATTATATATCATTCATAGTAACATTTTTAAATTTTTATTTATCAAAAACCATTTTCTTAAAATCTTAATATAACAGGCGTTTGCTCCTTTCTCTGGGAAAAAAGCTGACAAACTTGCTCGTCGTAAACAAGAGCTTCTCCAAAAGAAACTTCATGTTCCACTCGTAGATAGAACACCTATAGAACCACCACCTATTGTGGTTGCTATTGTTGGCCCACCACAGGTTTTTTTTTTAAAATCGAAAAATAAAACCCTTGCGTGATTAAAAGTTTTCAAATTAAAATTAAAATATTTTTTATTTATTAATAATAGACTGGTAAAACTACTTTGATAAAATCACTGGTAAAAAGATACACTAAACATAACCTTACAGAAGTTAAAGGACCAATTACAGTTGTTAGTGGTATGCTTTCAATATACTTTTAAAAAAATGCATTTTTATTTCAAAAGAAATTAATTATTAATATTTTATATGTGTGCATGCATGCATATAGGGAAAAAAAGAAGATTGACTTTTATTGAATGTGCAAATGATTTGAATTCAATGATTGATATAGCTAAAATAGCTGATTTAGTGCTACTTTTAATTGATGCAAGTTTTGGTTTTGAAATGGTAAATTCCAAAAATCAAAAAGTTATTTAAATAATAAATGGTTTCTCAGATAGTCTTAAAAACAAACCTTTTTTTGGATCCTCAATTTAGGAAACATTTGAATTTCTTAATATTTTACAAGCTCATGGATTTCCTAAAATAATAGGTGTTCTGACACATTTGGACAAATTTAAAAATAATAAAGTTTTAAAAAATACCAAAAAAAGATTAAAACATCGTTTCTGGACAGAAATTTATCAAGGAGCAAAGCTTTTTTATCTGACTGGTATAATAAATGGCCGATATTCTAATAACGAGATACAAAATCTTTCAAGATTCATTTCTATTATGAGGTTTCGTCCGCTGATTTGGAGGAATACTCGTCCATATTTGGTGGCTGATCGTGTTGAAGATTTAACTGATCCCGAGGAAGTTAGATTAAATCCATTGTGTGATCGTACTATAACTTTATATGGTTATCTACGAGGAACAAATATGAAAAGTAATATGAAGGTTTGTTGTTTTAAATTTTTCTTTTGACTTGTTTAGTTGAAATTGAATTTAAAAAAAGATTTGTGTGAACTTGTTTATTTATTATTTAAAAAAAGGTTCATATACCTGGTGCTGGAGATCAATGCATTTCAGATATTTCTATTTTATCAGATCCCTGTCCTCTTCCTGAAAAAGTAAGGAGGAGTCTCAGTGAAAAACAAAAACTTATTTATGCTCCAATGTCTGATGTAGGAGGTATTATGTATGACAAGGATGCTGTATATATTAATGTTCCTGGAAGTTTTACAAAAAAAAGTGATCAAATAATTAATGATGATGACGACGATGATGACGATGATGATAAAAATCGTAATAAAAGAATTTTTTTTCGATATTTAAAATTTTTATTGTCAATATTTTTAATCAATACTAAATATACTATTAAAAAAAGTTGAATATGAACAAGGATTTGGTGAAAGAATGGTCATGAGTTTACAAGATGCTCCTGATACACTTGGTAGTCAATTGCAAGAAAGTGAATTAACTTTATTCACTAATTCTAATCATTTGAAAGCATCGAATTTGACTCGATTAGATGGTAACTATATTAATAAAAAAATATTAATATCAAATTCATTATACATATGTATTAATTGACAGTAAATTATTGTCATTAAATAAATTATAAAAAAGAATACGGCGATGATGATGACGATGATAATGACGATGACGATGACGATGATGATGACAATGATGATGATGATGATGATGATGATGATGATGATGATGATGATGATGATGATGATGATGATGAAACAATAATAAATATAGGTAGCGAATATGACACTGAAGGTGAAGTAATTGAATCAGATGATGATGACGATGATGATAGTGAAGGAGAAAATGATGATGATGAGAGTGATGGTGATGATGATGAGAGTGATGGTGAGGATGATGGTGAGGAGAATGGTGATGATGGTGATGATGATGACGATAATGATGATGATAAAATTAGTAATTATAATGATAAGAAAAAAACTCGACATCTTGTAAGAAGAGCAGCCTTAAAAAATTATAATATTAAAAATTCCGAGGATAATAATAATAAAAATAAAGAAGTTGCTTATGCTGAAAGTGATAGTGACTTGGGTGATACAATTTTGGATGAAGAAGAAGGAAATTCAGAAGATGTCGATAGATCTCTTAGGCAGAAAACTAATTTGACTGAGGATGAAGAGGATGAAGAGTTGTTTAAGTTTGTAGAAAGTGAAGAAAAATCAAACAATTCTATGAACGAAATTGATTCAATAAAACTAAGCATAAAGATGGATGATTTAAATCGATGGGATAACGAGGAGGTGAACAAGTGTTGATTTTATCATTATTATCATTATTATTATCATCTTCTTTATTTTTAATTAATATAGATTTATTTATAGATACTAGAATCATTAAGGAATAAATTTATTACCGGTAGCTTAGATGATGATGATGATGCCCAAATAAACTTTGATGACAATGACGATGATTTAGATGAGGTACAGGGTGATTTTGAAGATCTTGAAATAGGAGAAGCCGTGAAAGCATCTGAAAATACCAATACAAAAGAAGAGATTGAACGAGAGGCATTTGCAAAAAAAAAGGCATTTCTAAAGAAAAAATTTGATGCTGAATATGACGATAATAAGGATAAGCCGAAGGGAGATTTTTATGATGAAGTAAAGGAGGAGATAGCTAAACAATTACAAATTAATCGGGAAGAATTTGAATCAGATGATCCTGTGGCTAGAGCAATGATTGAAGGGTTTAGTCCTGGAACTTATGTTCGTATCTTATTGAACGAAATACCTTGCGAGTTTGTTAAACATTTTGATCCAATATATCCTATAATAGTAGGCGGGTTATTAACCACTGAAGAAAATTTAGGATTCATTCAGGTATCATTAATATACTATTCAAATTTATTCATACAAGTTTTGAAGGTTTTTGTAATAGTATATTAATTTTCATTTATAGCTTCGAATTAAACGTCATCGATGGCACAAGAAAATATTAAAGACTAATGATCCTCTCATCTTTTCAATTGGTTGGAGGAGATTTCAATCAATGCCTATTTATTCATTAAATGATGGTACAAGAAACAGGATGCTTAAATACACACCTGAGCATATGCATTGTTTAGCAACTATTTACGGTAAATACATATTTATTTATGTTTATTTTAAATTGCAAAGTTACTTTTATTAATAGTTCATTTCATTAGGGCCAATCCATCCCCCAAGCACAAGTTTCTGTGCAGTTCAATCTGTTTCAGCAAGCAACACAGTACGTAAAAATTAAAATAAATAGAATTTTCATCTATTTCGATTTTATAAATTTCTTAAATGTTTAATTTAAAAAATTTTTTTTTTTAAAAATAGGCTTCATTTCGTATTAGTGCAACAGGTGTTGTTCTTGATATCAATCATTCAGTTGAAATTGTTAAAAAATTAAAATTAACAGGTTTACCTTACAAGATTTTTAAGAATACTGCTTTCATCAAAGACATGTTTTCATCTGCATTAGAGGTTGCAAAATTTGAAGGTGCAGCTATTAGAACTGTTTCTGGTATTAGAGGACAAGTTAAAAAGGCTGTTTTGGTATATAAATAAATGAAACTTGTTATTGTTTTTTAAAATTTTATATTATATATTAATATAATTTTTTATTGAAATATAGAAAAGCGATGGACATTTTCGTGCTACATTTGAAGATAAAATATTAATGAGTGGTATGTATGTACTATATTTTATATATTTATGAACATTCATTAAATATTCATGTTGTTTTTTTTTTTTATAATTAGATATTATATTTCTTCGAGCCTGGTATCCTATAAAACCAAAGAAATTTTATAATCCAGTCACATCATTATTGTTATCTTCAAAGAAAGATTGGCAAGGAATGCGATTAAGTGGTGTAGTTAGACATGAATTGAACATGCCAAAACCACATAAATCCGATTCTGATTATAGAGTAATTTATTATCAAATTCATTGGGATAAAAATTTATTTATCTATCATACACCAACTAACAAATATAAATAATCTTTTTATAGAGCATTGAAAGAAAAACAAGGCGATTTAATCCCTTGCACATTCCAAAATCTCTTCAGGCTGAATTACCATTTGAATCAAAACCAAAACTTTTGAAGAAACAATCTAAACAATCCTATATGCAGAAACGAGTAGTGATTATGGAACCTAAAGAAAAGAATGTTTACACACTTATGCAACAAATTAAAACCCTCAAGAACGAAAAGGACAAGAAACGAAAGGAAAAACGTACTAAACAACGTATAGAACATATAAAGAAAATCAATAAGCTAGAAGATAAATTAAAGGAGAAAAACAAACAAGAAAGGAGAGAATATTTTAAGAAACAAGGATTAGCAGAAAAGAGATCAGCAAATAAATCATCAATTAATGATGATGATTTTAATAGTGATAGAATAGCAAAAAAAGTAAAGATATAATTATAATTATAATAATATATTAATTTAATGGTAGTATAATTAATAATATTATTGTTGATTGACTAGCTAGCCATCAATTAGATTTTTTTAATGCAAATCAATCAAAATAAATACTTGATAATTTGTTGTTATTAATTTTATTTATTCTAAATAATATACATGTGTTGTACAAAAAGTTTTGAGAAAATGCATGTTACTTTATAAATTTTATTAAAAAAATTTACAAATCAATTGCCTTCAAATAAAAAAGGCAAATATTTTTTTGGTTGCTAATTATTGAGATATTAAATTTTAAAGATTAACAACAAAAACA